TATTATGTAATGTTATATATATATATATATATATATATATATATATACACACCAGAAATATCATTAAGATGCAATACTTTAATTTTACCAGAATTTGTTTTTCCGTCTATGATAGATTTTTTATCTTAAAAAGCCGTGATTGAATTTTCCTTTGCTTACTAAAGTTTTCTGTTACATTTAGCATAATTTCCTTGATAAATATATTAAAAATACATGTTAAATTGAATATTTTGCTCGTTTAAACTCAAATTCAAACAAAACTTACATCCAAATAATTAAAAATATAAATTATTTTAAATGAAATAAAAGTTTATGACCGAAAATCTATTATTTCGAGTTATTGTGTACATAATTCTTACCATGAGATAACCATACTGAATCATCTTTTCAGAAAACTCGCCCAATCGGAAATCTTCGTCTTTGCTCTTACGAAATTCTCTAAGTAAAAACTGTTGAATCCCTCTCTTCTTCTGATAAATGCTCCCTCTTTTAGCATTTTTAGTACAGTGAAAACATCGTTTTATACACCTATATAACAGTTTAAAAACAGTTTTAAAAAAATGAAGCATTGGATTAATTTTTATTTCGATTCGCATCCTCATAATTGAGAGTTCATGGAAAAACATGTTAAAAGATCATCTAAATTCTAAGTATTATAGAGATTGCGAGAATATATTTTTTAACATCTTTCTAGTATTTCTATATATTTTTTCGTAAATCTTAGTAGAAAAGATGTTTAGTGGATTTTTTTTAAATATACTCAAGCAACCTGGTTTATTCTTCATTTCGTTATGGTGGTAGCGTAAAGTTAAAAATATATATATATATATATATATTTACATATTTCAAATTTGCCCCTAAAGCATCACTTAACCTGTTCCTTCTATAAACTTAAATAAAATACAGGTTTAGTAGAATTTTGAAAATGCTGAAATATCTTGGCGCTTACACTCTGATTATATTAGGCTGAAAGAATAAGTTTAAAGTGCATGCTGATGTTTTTATATAGTTTAAGTTTGCTACTAAAATCTAACTTAATTTGTTCCTCCATTAAGTTTAAATAGAAAACAGTATTCAGAATTTTGAAAAATTCAAACATCCAGCTTCATTCCCTGTTTATTTTAGTTTGTAAGTATAAACTTAAAATGTATAGAGTTTTTCCATAGAAATGAAAATTGTCTCTAAAATATCACTTAACTTACTCTTTCACAAGTCCTGTTGTTTAATTTTTATTAAAAGGTCCAAATTTCAATATATTTTGAAAAATGAAATAAAAAGAATTTTGCTGTGGTGAGGAACGGTACTCTACTTTTAGTTACGTTGTCCTAGAGCTGCACAATGAACTATTGATAATGATTTGGAAATCATTCCTGAGGATGATCTAGAGACAACATACATATGTCACATCCCGTTTTGCAGGGAGGACATATTCACATACCATCCATCCACAGATCGTAATTTTGACCGGAAACAGAGCTCGACTTATCTCTGATTCAGCATCTCCAAAGGTATTGATTTGTTATGGGAACTTCGAGAAATTTGTAATTCAGACAGATTTAACTACCAGTCACTATTCTGTGCACTTTTTTTGGCTAGCGGGGATCAAACTCACGACCTCTCGGACATTCATCCAACGTCCTACCAGCCAGGTTATCCTGGCTTCAGAAGAGGTAAGGAAATAGCTCAGTGTCATCAAACAAAATGAATGCAATGTTTAAGAATTTTTATAAAAAAAGTAGTAAAGGTAATTGCATTTCAACAACGCAGTTTCCTTGCATACAAAGCAAACATAAGTAGTATCAAGTAACAAATTGTCTTTTCAGTACGTTAAAAAGTCCTTAATCTACGTAAAAAATTTCGATTCAAAATTTACACTTTTTTTAGTTTTAATGTTTTTTACAACTCCTCAAATCTAATTGTCAAAGCAATATTTAATTTATTCAAGCAAGGACTATAGGAATGTTGAAGAAGAATTTGTTTTCAAACAAGTAATTTCCTAAAAAGCAATTGTATAATTTTTTTTAAAACAGTTCGGAAAAAATTATCTATATGTAAAAGAAATACCAGAGAAAAAGATTAGAAAATGAAGGGGAAAAAACGCATTGTGACAAAGTATGTAAAATACAGGTAATATACCAGGGTTGTATCAAAAAATTAGCTTAAAAAGATACGAAACATTACTCTATTTAAATATATGAAAAAATACGATCATGCTGGAAATTTATTTTTAAAAAAATTTCTACATGTATTTGATGCTTAGGAGACATGGAATTAATGGAATTAAGGAATCCCATCCTAGAAAGTCTACATACTCTTTTTCCGGGGAATTTCTGGCCTATCGTCTCATTGATTTTGCTCTGAAATGTCATTAAAAAGCCTCTCTTTAATGCATAAGCTACTAAGCATCATTAAAACTGAAATCTGGCTTGTTGTTGTTGTTTCTATTGCCTACTTTCCAAGCTAGCGAGACTGCTTGGGAAACAAAGAGAATTCAAGGTAGAGCGTGAGTTTCTCGTTTTTTATCAATTTTTGTCATCTATGGCCAAGAATACGATTTCAGACACACACACGTCACAGTCTATTTCCCAGCCGGGCGCATTCATTCATCCACAGACCATGATTTTGATCTGGACCAGAGAACGATCAATCTCCAATTCAGTACCCCCAGACGTATTGATTTGTTATAGGAGCTTGGGGGACTTTGTGACCCCCACAGATTTAAGGTGCACCAGTCACCATTTAGAACACGGGAGTGAGTCTTCGGTCGGCGGGGATTGAATTCCCGCTCTCACTAACGCGAGTTCAACTTCCAACCAATCAGGCTATCTTTACCCGAAATCTATCTTTAAATTATTGTGCTACTTTCGTAAATTCTTAAACATACAGCAGAGTTTGCATTAAAAAACTTACGTATGCATTACAAAAATATAGCAGAGCTAATTTTTTATCATAAGAGTTCCTTTTTAAGTTTTAATTTTAAACCTGTTTATAGCCCAGTTTTTTCGTCTGCCCAATGAGTGATTAGAAATTCCATCGGTTTTAGGACCATGATAAGCGTAGATATTACAAATTTTTCCTACTCTTACCTTCTATAGTTTTTTTGGGGACATAGTTTTGAAATTCTTCCAAAATTCGAAAATAATAAATTTATTAATATGGAAAATTAATAATTGTTTTCACAATAATATAAATCAACTGAACAAATATACCATTTGAAGTTTTGCTGAATATTTAAGAAAACACATTTTCTTACTTTTACATACTTAAAAATCTGAGAATAATAACAGAATTTCTATTTTCAGCAATATACTATTTTTATTGGCATAAATATTTTTATTAGCATTATTAATTTTTACTTTTCCCTTATATGGTGAGTTGTAGCAAAAAAATATAAGACTCTTGAAGAAAAAATATTTTAGTAGAATACTACTACTAAATATTTTAGACAATATTTTTGCTAAATATATGCTGCAACCTTAAACTAAACAAGATTCTGATTACGTTTTCTTATGTATATGAGATTAAAAAAAGTTATTTAAAATTTTTACTGTGCAATATTATTTATCTACAAGAAAATTTCAAGAAATTTCGAGTTGCATCGGAGTTAAATTTTTTAAATTTGTTTTAACAAATTTTTAGATAAAATTTTACCAGTGAAATGATGAGTTTTTCTCATTATAGTATTTATCTTAAAACATTAGCATTATGCTGCATTATTATAGCATTAAACTTTTTCTCATTGAAGCATTAACAGTTGTCTTCCTAATAATAACTATTAATGCTTCAAGATTTTCAATCTTAAACCTTGCAAAACTTAGTTTGACGAATCTAAGCATCTATACTAGAAATTTCATTAAATATGAAAATTGATATCCTTGAAGTAAAACAAAAACTTTATTTTTAAAATTTTGTTTAAATTGAATAGAAAAGTCAGTCAATAAGAATATTCATTCGGTAATAATGACCTAAAATTTAAACTTACGGCCAAATAACGTCCACGATGAATTTCGGTAGAGGATCGAAAAGTATTAAAATTAGAAGCTGGAATGATAAAAGAGAGGTGTAGTTTTTCTTTCCAACGCAAGCTCCAAACCAGCCGTCGTAGCGCTCTATAATCTGAAAATAAATATATATAACATGTTATGTATGATGATGTGACATGTTATGTGTTTCACATGCACTCTCACTTGATCATTTCTCAGTGAGCATTTTTTAATATTAAGATCTCCCAAATTATATGATTTATTATATAAAAGTCTAGTTGCAAACTAATTTCATCCGTAATTATATATTTATAAGCTTTGAAACTTTCAAATCCTGTGGAAACAGCTAAAAATCAGCATTAAAAACATGACAGAGATTATAATTATCAATAAAATGAAGAGCAAAGGTGAGACGTGAGGTTCTCCTGATAAATTAGTAAACTTACAAGAAAATTAGCGTTTCCAAGGTATGCATGTAAAGATTTATTACATAAATGAAAAAAACAGTAGTCCAACGAGATTTCCAATAACCAATTTATTTAACAATACCAAAATCAATAGTATCAAAGGCTTTAGAAAAGCTTATGTAAAAAATATCGAAACGAGATTTATTTTCAAAAGCATATTATGATTTTACTAATTAAACAAAGCAAATTTGCTACCAAGGATATTTTAGGCATAAAACCATTTTGCGCATATGAGATATAATGATTAACTTGATTGAATTTTTTTTTTTTGTATAAAAAATACTTTCAAAAATTTAAAAAGAAGATCTCACTATGGCTAAAAGCCTCCAGTTTTTACATTTATTTAAATTATCGAAATAAATATATAAACTACAAGACTAAATTTAAGAAACCAAAAGCAAAAACTTCTCCAAATATTACACGATTTATTTAAAACATTTACAAGTCATAAAACGCTTTTACTCTTCACACTTTAAAAAAAAAACATCCCCCATAAAACAAAACATTAATATTCCCTTTTTAATAAAAAAGGGATATTAAACAAAAAACGTATTAAACGTTCAGGTTTAATATTTAATCAATCATAGGAGTAAAAACAAGTTACATGACTATAATGAACTTTGATATAAATACTGTTTGGTTTTTAAATTAATGTAAAGAAAATTTAAAATATTTATCATTATTTATTCTTCTTAATGTGAAATATTCAAAATTAAATCAGTTATAAGAGTTACAGCTGAAATCTTTAGGTAAAGGCTCTGGGGGGGGGGAGTGCTCTTTCCTGTTTGCGCAGTTTCAGTTTCTTTTTCGTGGCTTATTATTTTACAGCAATCAAGTAATACAAGTATATGTTACATTATTTTATTAGTTTGATAATTTGCTTGATTAAGAGAATTAAATGTACTTACATTGCTGTATAAAGCCATGTAAAATAGAGATGTGTAGGAGTTGAAAAATTGGAACACAAATAGTTTAATTATGAGATGATCACTATGTGCGCTTAAAGTCTGGTGGTTTTCTGCAAAACAGGTTTCAAATCTATGAAACATATTTTATAAGAAATATATAAAAAATCAAGGGAAATAATTTATTTAACAATTATCAATGTTATAATTTATTTAGCAATTATCAACAAGATTTTAAGTCATTAACGTATTTATATTTGACAGAAGCGCCACCTTTAATTTTCTTTAGATTTAATTGTTTTAATATTTCACTTTAGGTTGCGTGGCAACCTGAGATAGTTTTTGTTGTTGTTCTTTTTTGTTGTAATTTAGAATTATAATTTTTAGAATCCGTTTTTGATGCTAAATTATTAGTTATTAAAAGATTAAAGTTTTATATTTGTTGTCATTCATCTATAGAACTTGTAGTTCATTTGATTGATTTTATTTAAAAGGCGTCCACATTATTTATTTTAACTTATTAACGACAATCAATAAAATAGTTATTTCAAATAATTTAATAAATTATAATTATTATTTATTTATTTATTAATTTTTGCAAAGCTTAGAAATTTTTCGCCAACTGTAACTTTTTAGTGAATTAAGGTGAGTACTAACTGATGCATTCGGGAGTGACTTAATAAAAATAAGAATATGAAATAAGTTTAAGCCCTATTTATCTTTTATAAGAAATTGTTTACATTTCAAGAAGCAGTAAATAAATATAACGTATATATTATATGCGTTCAACGTTAAATTTCATTTGGCGATAAAATGACAATCAAAATTTGTTGTGGGTGCTCAGGTAACAAATGAAACTTTCATTTTCATCAGGCATGGAGCTCTAATTGAGATTTGATTGCTTTAGCTAAATGAAAAGTGGTTCAAATTTTGATTGCGAGATACCATCATCAAAACCACAAAAGTGAGCAAATAAAAACGTAGTAAAAACATGTTAATGTTATTCTAGGTTTGGCGAAAATAGATCCTATAAGGATATCATTTACGTTTATTCTTTCCACGCTTTTCTTTTTACTTTGAAAACTTAAAATAATTCGAATAAATTTGTTTAATTATCAGATGATAATAATTATATAATAAAATAGCTTTTGAAATACTGCAGTTTTATAAATTATTCTTTTAAGTGGGAAAATTGAATATCATTTTTTTTCTTTTTTAATTAGAAATAATTGTTTGATAAGTTTGCTAATAAAATATAAGTTATTAAAACGAGTCATAATTTTTAAATTCTGTAGGATATTAAGCAGATATCTTAAGAGATAACCAAAGATATTTTCTTACCCCAGTCTGTAAGTTTGATTGCTATGATCTCATAAATCTAAAAAAAAAAAAGAGTTACTATAAACTATCAAACAAAAGCTCAAAGATTTAAGTAAGAAAAATACTATTTTTTGGAAGTTTGATACCTAGATGCAGTGAAATAAATATATAAGTATCCCTCGATACAGTTAAAATATATATATTTAACACAAGAATATTTTTAAAATTATTCATCAGCGGAGCGTATTAAATTATGTTTGTCATGTTAACTGTTAATTTTAAGCAAATATTTCCTTTCACATTTTATTTCTTACGTGCAAAATTTAGTGCAAAATTTAGCAAATTATTAAGAAGATATGGTCAAAAGATTAAAACATCAAAAGATTATTTGAAGCTAACTAAAAAAATACGAATATTTCAATTAGTTTACTAAAACCCAGTCGCATGATTTAAGAACAGGTTTTAGTTTATCAGAATTAGTTTTTAATCATTTTGCCTGTCACTAATCAAATAAATTTTAGAATTATTTATCCAAATTTGCTTGTTTTCGGTAACGAATTTCTAAATGTGTAAAATTAATTCTAAAATATAATAAAAATAAAATATAATATACGGTCAAAAAGGTAAAACATCAAAAGTTTGCATTAAATTAGTTCTGAAAAACTTAAATACTTCAATAAAACTATATGAATATAAAACGAGTTTAAGTTGATCAAGTTTATCTTTTTATCTTTTTACTGCTAATTTATGAAGAACTTAACAAAGTTAGCAAAATAATGTTTTTAAAAGTACATTTACAAGGAAATTACTATCATTATGTTCAAGTATTCCTTTTAAAAAAATTTGGTTTAGAAAAAAAAATTATGAGTTAATCTGAAAACCTAAAAACTAAACATAATATAAGTATTAATTAGCCTGAAAATTTGAATAGTACACACTTTCAAAGCTACTAACCTTTCCTAGAAACTTAATGGATACAGCATTGAGTATTAAAGGAACTAATGTCGACAGAAAAAACCCACATGCATTATCTGTATTCTCAGTATCGGGGCAGAAGTACTCTGAATAACTGAAATTCACAATCATTACGCTATTGATTACAACCCAAACCTGCAAAAAACAATTCATGTATTAAAAAATAATGTATTATTTAGATGTATTACTGAAAATATCTCAGAATATTTGGGTAGAAATGCAGTAAAATGAAACGAGATCAATATAAACAGGATGCTCCGTAATGACTACCCTTAATATATACGTCCTGAAATAATTTTGTTTACACTAGGATTCGTAAACAAATAATTAAGTGAGGAAGAAAGTGTAGATGCTACGAGAAAAATCCAGCCACATACTCAACCCTTTTCTCATCGACTTATTTTCTTCTTTCTTTCTTTTTTTTTATTTAAAAAAAATTCAAACAAGCTCCGCGTTAAATGCCACTGAATGCAAAATCACCTCCTGGACAAACTTTGCCTACAAACTTTAGAATTTTAAATAAACCAAATTTTCTCCGAAACCTTCCAGCGTATTAGTGCAACACCTCCTAGAAAAGAGCAGGCCTCAGCACGGGTTATAATAAATGTCCTTTAGTAGTCCAAACGTAATGACATATTTCGTAATTTCAACCACTGCGCTGCTTAGTACCCGGGACGTAATGACATCTTTCTTATTTTTCATCTACTGCGCAGATAACTTCGTCACATCGGACTACTAGATTAATTCCTTGCTGAGGCCTTCCTTCTTATCTAGGAGGTGTTGGCTGAGGCTTTCCTTCTTCTAGGAGGTGTTGATCAGTGTCTCTGACATGCCCAGCCAACCTCCACGTTCGATCCATAGCAGCGATCACGAATTTTAACTACTTGAGGCATTGACTTGACAGTTTCCTCCTCTTAGACCTATAGTCCTATTTTTCAATTCTTGACAACTATCACATAAAAGATATTTTGTACTATATTGCTTGTGGAAAAATAGTCTATACGACCAATTAGCCTGATGGAAAAGAATAGCAACGTACCATAATACCCGTGACTAAAATAGAGAAAAGATAATGCAGCATTCTCCTTCGAAATGGGTAATAGACTAATGGTTGTAGAGTGAAAGGGTTGATTTGTGTCTTGGTACCACGGAACAAAGGTCTATCAGGCTCTACATTCTCATAATTGTCCACGTGCCACTGTCTTGCGAGTGAAATCTGTTTTCTTCTCCAAACTTCTGTAAATATAGTTCCTGGAAGAACAATTGAAGAATTCATTACAAATAAATAATTTTCCAGTGAATTTAAATTGAAAATATAGCATCATTAGAATACTGTTTCGAAAATACTTTTTTCCCGTTTAAGTCCAATGACTTAACAAAAAAAAACTCTTTATGTACAATTATCCATAACATGTTTTTGAAAATGTGACTATTTAATAAGTAAAAAAGGTATTAAAATCATCTTTTAATGTTATCTAAAATGACTTTTTTTTTTAAAAAAAAAGACTAGTTTTCTTACCCCAAAGACAAATGATGATCGCAAATAAAGGAGTCAAGTCGTTATATCCAGTGGATCTAATAAATTGTGTTATGTCCATTTTTCTTATATCACCAATGCTGAAAAGAAAGAAAAGTTTAAACACAATCTTTATCTTCACTCTCTTAGAATTATCTCAAATTATGTATAAAAAAATTTGATTTAATTCAAAATTTTCAATGATGTTCCCTTTTTATTCACCAAAATATTCTTAAAAGCTACTTACTGCTGAAAGATTCCGAATATGAAAACGCCGATACCAAGAACTGCTGGAAACCAAAGTGAAGCTGTAAACGTCGACACCCATGCAAAGTAAAAAGCTATTTTTTCACCAAAATAATCCCGCACCTCCTGAACAGGTTGCTTGCTGCAAAATTTACTCAATTTCTTATCAATCTCTTGTCTAAGATCTTCCTTTGGTTTAACTTCATGCCCTTCTTTGGAATGCATGTTTATCACAGAAAGACTTGTACGCTCCAGAACTGATGGATCATGGAGAGGGAAAGCACTTTTGAACACTTTTTCTTTTAATAGATATGGTAAATCTGCAATTAAAAATAGCATTATTAAGTGAGAGCAGTCCAAGCGCATGAACTGTATGAACCATTTTTGTATGACGTCATAACAGGTAAAATATTTAAGAAATAATCGTGATAACAAAAAACGTTTCAAACCAATAATTAAACTATTTATTTTATTTTAATGAAATTTGAAACAAGACAATGTTCAGTTCCTCAATTTTTTTTAATTATTTTAAAGTATAGTTAGTCAATCGGTGCTACGTCACGGAATCGGCATTCCCAAAGTTATTTGAAACCACGTGTTTATTTAGTGTTTAGTTGTACTTTTAAAACGTGTTTTTGGTATAAAAAAATAATAATAAGGTACAATTTTTTACAGAGAAAGGTATCCGATTAGTTCCGATAACTTGTTTTTAAATCTATATTATATAAAACGCTAATACGTACGTATGTATGTATCAATAAAACCGATGATATTTCTTTTCTCGCGCTGGCAACAGTTTTCATTTTCAATTGATAGGCTTCGGTGCGCAAGAGCACGTAGTGAGCATCATATGGCTCATCCATGTTATATAAAACGCTAATACGTTTTAATTGATAGGCTTCGACGCGCAAGAGCACGTAGTGAGCATAATATGTCTAATCGGGTGAATTCTCACCGAATTATCAAAATTATCTTCATCGAAGCCGATGCTTTACATCCAGCGTTCAGTACTATTTCATATTGTTTTACAACACATGGTTTTAGCCCTCTGGTGGGAAAGACTTTAAAACAAAACTTACAACAGTTACTTTTCTCAACAACTGAAATTTAGAATAGTGTGATTAAGAAAAATATGTGAACTGTTTGCAATTTCAAATTAATATTGAAATGTACAGGTTTAGAATTTTCTACAGTGAAAAGTTTTCGGAACTTCAGTGTTCAAAAAAGTATACAAAAGCTAGACGTTAAGAACGTATCCAATGAGTGAGCAAAGCGAGCATCGGATTGCGAAGCAATCCGAAATGAACTGCGAAAGCAGTCCCGGGGGTTGGCGAGCGCCAGCGAGCAGGGGGCGAAGCCTCCTAGTATTACATAAAATTTGAAAAAAACTAGTCTATATACCTCAACGTTATATTATTATTTTTATTTTCTGTTACTATTTTATTTCTTAAATTATTCCTTTAAATTTATTCAGCAAATATAAATTATCATGTACAGCGAGCAAAATACAAAATGAAGCACCTTTAATTATTTTTGATCTTATGAGCGAATCTTCAAGTTCAATGCTTATTTAAAATTCAATTCAACCAATTTCACACAAATTTTGTATTTTGCCATGTAAAATTGCATTCTTTAAAATGATGCAAAAAATTCTGTACCTTACACTTCAAAATTTTTCCGAAATTATTAAATAAAATAATAAAAAATTCTTATTGTTTATTAAAAATTTTTTTTTGCATGGAATTATCTTTGGATAAATAAATTTTATACTTGTGCGCAATAAGTTTTCCATTTAAAAATTTCTCGTGATACACCGAAGGACACAAATAGTAAAATTAATATTTAGGGTTCCAAATTTTGGAGTGCTCTTCCTTCCAAATTTTAGGGATAATATTTACCAGGTTGCTGCTACCCTCTAGATTTTGGAGGTCGAAAATCCGAATCCGCGGAAAAAAAAGATCTGTTCATTCAGAGAAAGTACGTTTTTGTGTTTGATTTCATAACTTAAAATATCACCTGCACTTATTAATTAGCATATTTGAGGTCCCTCCCTCATCGAACCATTAAGATTGAGTCCTAGAACCTGAAGATCTGACCATTTGATCAAAAATCACTAAGGGTGGTTCGTTTTTTATTTTGCGAATTGTACATCATCACTTGTCAGGAATATCGCTGACAAATTTTGAAAAACACTTTTAATTGAACCACCTCAAAATGCTTAATAACGTATTCCATAGAGTTCTGAAATTTAATTATTTCAAAAGTATATGGTATTTTAAAATTCATTTAACTACTAAGATACATAATCTTTTTTCTTAAGAAGATAATAACAAACCTACCAATTTTTTCAGGTAACTCCCCGTTTTCCCTATATTTCGAAACATTTAACGTTGTAATAATATTATGTACCTGAAATAAAAGGGAAGTAAACATAAAATATAAATACTGAGAAAAAGCATACAGGTATGTATTTTATTAACTCAAAAACGTAAGAAATCTTATAACAAAGAATCAAGTGGAAAGAAAATACTTTACAATCGAATAAATAGCTTCAAATCTTAGATGATAAACAAAATTTAGGCTAATCCATGCTTATATGTCTCCCGAATTTTCTATTCAACCTAATACTTAAGGCTTACAAGAATCAGCCATGCACCTCTAAGCTAAATAGAAAGTATGAGATGAATTACTCAAACAGCCAAAATTCATTTATGCAAAGTGGAATGGACTTTTATTTCTTCGATTCTTTGAATAGCAAGCAGGTGCTAATTTTAACACCTTTTCTTTTATTCGATTTTTTTTAATTAGCCGGAACATCACTCATTGAGTTAAGGCTTCACTATTGTGGGCAAATATCTTATAATTAGCTAGGCTAATTGAGCTGTGAATTATATTTTTTAAATTAGCCTAAAGGTAATTGTGATCGTTGAATAGACTTAAAAATTATCAGATTGATTAGGAAATATTGTAAATTTTTCTAATCAGCCTATCTCAGTGCAATAGGACGGAGATGATACGAAAAGAACGAGATGTGATGAACCAGTTTGAAAATAACCAATGCTTGATCTATGAGTTCCCTTGTTTACTGGGTTGAGCTCAAAATGACTAAAACTACGGAGTTGAACATTGATAGTCGTTAACTCTGAATCGAGGTAGATGTTCAGCGCGTTTCACAAAATAAAAATAAAATTAGCCCACGGGAGTCGTGGCTCAAAGGATAGAGCTCACGCCTTGCAGTGAAGTTACCCAGGTTAAAATCCTAGCGATGATTGAGCAGTGCTGGCGTTAAATACCCTCAGTGGTACAGGTTTCATCAGCTAAAATCACCTTGCCATCGGGCTCACTCTTGAACGTTTTCGTGATTTTCCTTTCGATTTAATGCAAATGCGGTTTAGTTTCAACAAAAATTCCTACACGTAGGCTAATTTGTCCTAATGCTTTATTCAAGAGATCCCTTACCTTCTGGGTTGGATTCAAAATTACAAGACCCACGGAGTTTAACATTCATAATGGGTTAGCCATTTAGCGCGAGTAAAAAATTAAAATTAGCATACCGCATAGATACCGAAGAGCCATTACATTATGACCACCTTCCATCTATAACAATGGGCTCGCCCAGGTTTTCATGGTTTCTCGCCCAGGAACAATGTTTTCATGGGGCACATTAGGACCCATAATCCTCATAGAACAATCCCTGACGTCTGTAAGCTACTTGAACATAGTTGCAGACTAGGTTCACCCATTCATGGCAACAGTTTTTCCTGCAGGGGATGGTGTTTACCAACAGGATAATGCACTGTGTCATAAGGGTCGAATCGTCGAGGAACATTCCAGTGACTTTCAAATCATGTTTTGGACCCCAAATTCACCTGACCTTAAGCCAATAGAGCATTTGTGGTCCTACTTGGAAAATCAAATTCGTGCTGCCACGCTACCCCCTCGAATGTGAGGGAGTTGCAGGACCAGTTGGTGAGCGCTTGGTACCAGATATTGCAGACTACCTATCAGCACCTTGTGGAATCAATGCCACGGCGGGTGCTAGCAGTTTTGACGGCTAAAGGTGGTCCTACTTGTTATTATCAGGGTGGTCATAATGTAATGGCTCTTCGGTGTATATATATGATTTTAATATTAATGAAAGAGTTTGCTTTTAACGAAGCTATTTTACCAATGTCAAAGCAGGGGTCGAATTTTAATTTTTCCACTTTCAACGTTTGCGAAAAATTCTCTTATTATCTGTGGTTTATATCTTTGATGCGAAATATATTAGAGCGCGCACACCACGATAAGTTCTGTCCACATAATGAAACCACAGGATTGCAGACCGAATCGAAAGAGAGTATTTCTTAACTTTCTCTTCTTTTCGTTATTTCAACGGAAGAAGTAGTGATGCTGGAATTTTAAAACCAAAAATCTTAAAATATGGCGGTTTATTGTGTCGCATTTGGTTGCACAGAAAATTACTAAAAAAGGATCTTATACATTTTGGACGTAAGTCAATTTATCTAATTTTGGAAATACAATTGTTTTATTCATTACATAAAAGAATATTAAGGATGTTCTTCTTTTGATAAAACATATTTCCGATCATTCCATTATGTTAATTCTAAAATCCAAATTTGTACTTTTACAACTACTTTTAAAGTAAATATAAAGGAATAAAAGAACAACTTAACCATAAAGTCATTCTTATGTAAAATTATTCATTATTAATGCATCATTTTTTTAATTACAGAGCTAAAATGTAGTAGGTGAAGTTTCGGGGACATTGTTCCTTTCCTTTTCTTTGTTTATTTATGTTGCATTTTTTTAGCCTCTATAATACTTTTGAGAAAAATAATTCTCAAACTTTTTTAATTTTCACTAGCTTGTTTTGAATTAATTTAGTTAATAAAATATATGTTCTTGTAGAGGGTTATGGAAGATTATTGCAAAACCATTCGATATGTAGGGCAAAGATTTTTAACACTTAATTATAAGCTCTCTGATTAAATCATTAGATCTTTTAAAATTGAAATCTCCTTTTCTTTTTTAATTACATTGCTACATGAAAAAAATGAGAAATTTGGCAGTGATATTAAACTGCTTTACCCTTTCACAGCTTGTGTTTAAGTAAAATCGGAAATTTTAAAACAGTAAAACGAGTTTTTTTTAATAGTTTTTGAAGATAATATAGCTCCTTTTTATTTCCAAGTCTTATTTTTCGTCTCCCTGAGATCTTAAAAATCCTTTTTTGTAAATATTTTCAGGGTTGCAAAATACCTGAAAAGATATCCATGATTTCACAAGACGTAGTACGATTATAAAATTTATGTTGGATTAAAATTAAAATATGTTTTTTATGTATTTAAATATCGATAAAACAATATTAAATTATTATACTGGGATGTATCAAAATAATACTTACAGAATAATAACAATTATAACTTAATATGTTATAATAATTATAATAGTATTTATAACTTAATAACAGGGCTGTTACAGATTTTCCTGAAAGCTACTGAAACAAATTGATCGTTGATTTGATGAATTTTTTTTTATTTTTACAGTTTTCAAAACCATTCAAAAATTAAGATTCGTGTCGGAAAAAGATCCATTTTATTGTTCGGCTAATCATAACGATCCTCAAGCTTTTCAACTTTCGTCCATTGACTGTATAAATACAGAATACGATTCTACCAGAAAAGAAAACCTATCTCAACGGTCAGACGATGCCCTTCACTTTTCACCAAAATCGCTGAAAAAGAGTGAGCACGTGACTGTAAGGAGTCAAGTATTTGGAACAAAGAGAGATGGGGAAATTTAACAGTGGGCTTGCTCTATTTGTATTACAGCTCTATGGTTTGTATATTATTCAAATTGTATGAAATTACGTTATAGTTTATATTTTAATGGGACAAGAAAGCAAAGTTCAGTAAATTGAGCTCCTTTTATTCTGAAATGAAACTTTTAAAACAATTCACTCAATCTTTAAGAAAAATTATGATCAATTTTACTTTGTTGATGATATTATTGAGTTTTAGCTATTTATATGTATAATTTGAATAGTTTCCTTCGATAAACAGTTGATTGAAAGCTGATCTATGATAGCTAATACTTTTGATCAAAGATTTTTAAAATGACAGAATTCTTTAAGGTATTGAATTAAAGGTTTCTGGAGATAAGCTTTAAAAGTAATTTTAAACGATTTTTAAAATTTTCATAACTTTAATGTAAACCGGATGAGTGAATTCTAATCTTTCAAATTATTTTCTGTTAATATAGGAAGGTGTTTAATATTTTGAGACATAGAATAGCAATTACAATTAACTTTATAAAACGATTAATTACTTACCAACAAACATCTTATTGAAGACGGAAGAATGGGATCATTTTTATCACTCTGATTTCTAAATAATTTTTGACGCTTACTTTGAAAAGGGGCTGTTATTTGTGTCCCTTGAAAATTTAAAAAAACATCAGTTAATGAAAATAAAAATTTTTAAACCATAATTAATTCTGAAACATAATAAAGTTTGAATAGACAATGTTCAATTCGATTTCATACATAATTTTCTTCTCAGCTATACAAATAATTGATAATATGCGAAAGAATTATTTATTTGTGTTTTATGCTTAGAAATTTTTAAACAAATTATCAAAAAGCCCTGGATACATATTTATCAAAAATCTCCATTTAAGTCTTAAAACAATAAGTATTTATTTCACAAAATCGTTCACTTTCTTCTGTATAACACAACACAAAAAAACTATTATCTTCACAGCACATCGCAAAAATAAGTTATTAAAGCTTTCTGAAAGCAATCATAAATTAAATTTCATGGCTTAATTATATAATGAACATTCAGTAAAAGTAATTAATATTCGATGCTAGAAATAATAATTCCGTTGATAGCAAATTATAAAAACTTCATTTCAACTGCAAGTGATCAGAATTATCCTGAAATTCAAAAATACGTACCATCAAGCAACTTCTAATTGCATACAAGTTACGTATCACAATTCATGCATTTTAATACGCAATTATATAAATTGCATTAAACGAAGTGCAACAATTAAATATCTAATTAAACTTGTTTAAAATTTAATAAAAAATTAAGCTAGAAAACGAAATAAGTTAAAGATATGTGATCATGTCATGTGATATGTTAAAGATCATGTCATCAGCTCCCATGATTAAATCCGAGAAAAACAATACTTTTTAATATTGTATTGCCAAAGAAAATCAATATCAAAGCAAAGCAATATTGTCAAGGCAAAATATATCAATACAATAGTGTGAGGATATATTTTGCTTTGGCTATATTATTACAATATTAGGAAGTACTCTTTTTTGCGGATATAATCGTGTGAGCTGAGGACTAGATTATATCTTTTCCTTATTGTGCTTTCGGGTTTTTTTTAATTTTTTTTACTTTTAAATATTTTTAAATATATTTATTTTAATAAATATACAATAACTTTTTTTCTCTTTTAAGAAATATTTTTTCACTCTAGTATTTCTATACTTTTAACTTATTTTTTTATGAGTTCTATGTACTTGCAGCTTATACTCTGTAAGCAAAACTTATTGTTATTTTTTCTAGTTTTCTTCCTCAAACTCTCTCTTTTCTTCTTTTATCCTTTTTAGTCTTTATTGTGTTAATATATATATTATAAGTTTTTAGATTATGCGGAACCAAACTGGCTGATTCTTTAAAAGTGTGTGTTAACAATGAAGCTTAAGTTTTCAGTCAAGCGACTAACAGTAACAAAACAAAATATGCTATTTGCATAAAAATTTCCTAAACAACCCATAAATTTCTTTTAAACACTTCTTTTACACTTTAGTTTTGGCTAGAAAAGTTATAAGTGTCATGCACAATTTATTTTTCTTCAGACAGTAACACTGTTTCTAAACTGTTGTCCATTCTTGGTTTAAAATAAAAAATTTTAAAAAAATCTATTGAACGAATACCTTATGAAGCTATTATTTTGTTTGTAGTAATAAAAAAATTGCTAATTTTAATTAACAAAACGTTATATTATTAATTTAACTAAGAAATTGTTAATATGTTTACAATTTATATACAATATATTTATTTTATTATTGAAATATGTAAAGTTTTGTTATAGTGGTTCCTTAAAAAATGAAACTTTGAATTCAAATCAAATATCGTATATATTTTAATGAGATAAATGTGATCTTTCCACAATTTAAAATAAGAATTAGACTTTAAAATTAAGGGAATTTTGAAATTGTAGTGCATTCTAATAGCAAACTTTAATTCAAAAAAATTTCCAAAACATCTAATATTTTATATATCTGTTATATATTTTAAAAATTTCAATCCAGAATATTTAAATTAACTATTAAAATCATCCCATATCTGTATAAAAATATTTATAAAATTCTAATGTGAGATAAGTGTACCTATTTCAACACCTCCAAGTAGTTTCTTCATCTTTTTTGAAATAATCGTATCTTCCTTTTCCAAAGGATTACGTAAAACTAGCTATAATAACAAATGCACATTTCATAAAAAAAATGTTCACTAAAAATAAGTAAGCAATAAGTTTGTAGTTACATTCCTGAATTTGAAATTGATATCATTCATCAGGTAAGTAAATCTCGGTTATTTTCCCGAAATACATTTGTTAATCTTTACACTATGTGTCTAAAAAGAGAAAAGAATTAAAAAAAAGAAAGGAAAGAAATACATAGGAAACACTCAATAAGTACAGACTTTAATAAAAAGAAATGGTTATTAAAATTTCTAAAATTTTAATAAAAGTATTTAATAATTATTCTAAGACTATTTATCCCAGATTAATGTAGTGATGATGGTGGCCCTAAAATTCATACAGGTAATATAATTCATATAGGTATAGGTATGTAATTGATTCATTCTATCAGTGGTGCCTAATGCCATAAAATATTAATTTAAATCAATTATTTTTCTTCAGAGGAGATTTAGGGCAATAAAACCCTACCCTCAATCTATCTGCTCAATAAATGAAACAGAGATTGTTTCAAAAAAAATTAATAGGTAGTTTTTAAGATCACGAACAAACATCGTAATTTTTAACTGAAGATTTTATTTTTCCCTGTTATACAACCCTTATTAGATAATCCCAATATAAGGAGTCTATAAAAAAAATCAAAATTCTGAGAAAGATACGAAATCTGAAAAAATATAAAGAAAATAAATGAAAAAATCTAATCACGTGGCAAAAATTTAGAGAAAAAAAGATGCGGATAAAGTATAAATATTTCTAATCCCCTACAAGTATTAAGAAACTAACAAAAGAAAGTAAACACAAACAACTCTTCTTTTATATCAGTAGTTTTCTTGAAAAACTAACAATCTTTTCAAAATTAAGTTATAGGCAGATTTGGTACTCTTATAGCTTGTAGTATCTATTTAATCTGTCTAACCGCTTCACTTAGCTATGCTAAAAAAATCTATATCAAATTACAGAAAAAAGTTCCGGAACTCAGGGTGCCGATACTTTGTACCTTAAAATACATTTTTACCGAAACATGTTAAAGAGCAAAAGACTTGATATACAGTAATTTTTCCAGCAAAAACTACACAAAATCACCGAATCACTCTTATTAAATAAGTATTAATGTAAAAATTACAGTGTAATATTTTTCCTTAAAAAATAAATTTTACGGATGATGCACCCAAAGTTCCGGAACTTTGTTTAATTTTATCAGGAGTGTTTTACAGTGTATAAAGTGTGCATTTACTAACCAAATTCCTATGCACCTAAAATAAATATTTTAAATCTTTAAGAACTTACAATATATAAATACAGAATAATTTATCACCCAAAAATTATGTATTATTATCTAATTTATTGCTTTCATATTTTACTTCACAAATAAGAATTTGAAATTGAGAAATATAAAATGATACCAAAAAGTCATCATGCATACAAAATCTTTCCAAAAAATTGCATATTTAACGAGCTATATTTGAATGAAGCTGGAGATATCTAAACACATTTTAACAAGTTATTATAATGCAATAGATTTCATGTTGTGCAATATTTCAAGCATAATTTTAAAATATTTATGACAAAAAAATGAACGCAGCGTTCATTAAGAATCAAATATAATTTAAAATTATTTCTTGCACAATAAAGGAACGCATAGTTCAATAAAAAATTAGACCAGTAGTAGAAAATATAACGTATAAATCTCAATTTGAGCAAAATGTTAGAATGCTTCTTGCAAAGAAATCAAAATTCAATCAAACGGAAATGAGAGCAGTAGCAGAAAATATAACGTATAGGTTTTAAGTTTTGCTATGTTTTAAATGTAATTTAAAAATATTGCTTGCTGAAGAAATAAACGCATCGTTCAATCAAAATAAAATAAGACCAGTAGAAAAAAATATACTGAATAGATTTCAAACTGTGCAAAATTTTAAGCATCGCTCAAAACTATTTCCCGCAAAAAAATAAACATACATAGAGTTCAGTCAGAATAAATTAGCATATTTATATATATATACACACACACACACACACACACACATATATNTAAAGATGAAGAATTAAAGCATACATAAATTAATACGCTAAATTTTATTGTGATTGAACCTTGCGCTCTTGCAAAAAGAAATGAAAGCTGACTTCAATCAAAGCAAACTGAGAGCAACAGCAAGATCTCAGAGTTCTTCGGGTCAAAACGAATGAGAGCAATATAAGAAGACAACAATTAAGACAGCAATTTAGAAGACTATTAAGTAAGAAAAGGTAATAAAATGTATTGTAGAGTTGATTTTTCTCACCCCCTTGAGCGGCATTTCTATTCTCAACGCTTGAGCTTCTTGATAAAGTCTTTCTAATGAACAAGATACCATGATGAAAATTATTTTCTCTGCTTTTACCTTTGTTGTAGATAGGCCTTCTTTATTCAAGGCATCCAGGAATCTTTCTCGAAAGATATCTTTTGTTCGAAAGTTTGTATCGTCTTCTTTTTCATCTTTTGAATGATCGCAAACTAAAGCGTAGTAAGAATATTCGAATTTAATGTTTTCCATTATGGTGTCCCTACGAAAATAAAGAAATTGTTATCGATTGAATATCTTAAATACGCAACTAAATCTCAATATAAATTTAAAAAACTTGACTTTGTATAAGTAATTTGAGAGAAATGCGAAATTGAACGAGTTTTTTTTTCCATACTTAAAATTCATGTATTGTAAATTAAACACTATATTGAAAACACTTATACATTTTTTTAACTCTTAAAAATAAAACTGAGCATTTTCTAAATAAAAAATATGCAAAGCTTTAAAAAACTTAGTTTTTAAAAGCTTTTCTTTTTCATGTTTGCTTATCTTGCTTGCAAAGCTCAGTTCTTTTTGATCAATTTTTCGAAAAATCCAACTGTTTCACATTTAGAATTTGCATAAAATAAATTCAACAGTTCATTGTTTAATTTACACTTCATAATTTTTTTTTCAAACACACCCATGCATTTTTTTAACTAATAAACTACAATTTATTTTCTGATAATTTTCTAAATGAAATGAAAATTATAAAGCTTGAAATAAAAGCTTCACTTAAAAGTGAACATGGTTTGAACAAGCCTGAGGCACTTTTGAACAAATGAATGAATATTAACTTAAGAACAGTTTATATTCGTCATATTACTAAAGAACAGTATATGAGCAAAAAAGAAAAACTTTGGAATTTTATGGTGATGACAAAAGCTAAATTTTAACTTTTTTCCATTTGCCTTATAAACACTCAGTGATCCATTAATGTTTTTTCACCAAATCATAAGAATTCCAATTCCGGTCCCAGTTTCCGAATTCTATTCCTGATACATAAGGCCCACATAGATGTACAGTATATGTCACAGCAATATAAAAATAAAATCACCATTACGTTTAAGATTTATTAATTTGTTTTTAGCATAAATTTTTCCATCTTTATTTGCTTATCTGAACTTTTCTATAAATTTCTGTGTCGGACCGAAATCCGAATAGAATCTACAGATTGTGAATACTAAATCATGAGCAGTAAAATACATATTTGGCTGTATTCAAAAAATAGCATCATTTTATATTTAGTTCTGGATAAGTGGTCCCTTCTTTCATTGAAAACTGCGATATTTTTAGAACAACATTCTTAAAAGAAAAAAATACAAATAAAAACTGAAAAATTACTTTTATTTTCAAAACTAATTAGTCTTTTTTTTTGCTGTTTATTTAAATTTAAATTTCATGGAGGAGACATACCGTGTTTATTCTAAACACCTATAGCTAAATCATATATTTATTCTAAAACGCCTATATGCTAAGCAGTATCACATCAGCAATAAAGAAAATATTTTATTCATTCGTCTTGAAATAAACAACCTTTTTTTTTTTTTTGAAAAAAAATTATCTTATAATGTGTACTTACTTCGTTCAAATAATCTACCCGAGCAAAGCTGCATCGTATCACTTCAAAACTTCGAAATAATAATAGTGTAAGACTACTTTCACCTAGTTTATTGGTATCTGTTTATCATCTATATAACATCTGTGCATCATTTAAGTTTCATGTTTAAATCATGCCTGCAAATATATACATTAGAATTTATCTATTTACGCCTCTGAAAAACTATGTACTCACCAATATTACAGAAATTACTTTTAATCATACTAACAAATTCTATCTGACTTTTTAATGAACTTATTATACGGTAGATATCGTTGATCATATTGCAACAAAATGATACGCAACTTCGTGACCACCAGGAATTAGTTAAAAGTATTCATCACGAAGAGTTATAATTCTCGTAAAAACTCGAATTCATTTTTAATAGAGAGAATGACGTAGCATGCGCCATAACCTAAATTACATAGTGTATCATGGGACCTTACATTTTATAAGAGACATGGGTGTTACATGCTTGATCGTTTAGTAAAAAGGAGGTATGATACCTATACAGAAATATTCTATTCCATTTAAATGAAAACTAATAGTTTGCAATATAAAACAACTAAGATCTCATCATTTTACATGTTTTAAATATTTTGTAGATATTTTTATTTCAAGAAAATCTCATTAAAATCATTCTATTTTTAAAATAATAATAGCTCTAAATAATCTCTGTTTGCAATTAGCGTAAGGTCGTTACTTTTTTCTTGAAAGAAATATTCATAAAAAAATATTTCGTATTCTTTTTAAATGATAATTTTTAGGCTTTATTTTAAAATAAAATAAATATTACACCTTTTGAGTTCGTTTTCCTTGAAGGAATTTAAGAGAAAGAAAAAAAAATTCTTTCATTTTGATTAAATCGGATCATGTTCTTCATTTGAATCCTTTAGATTCTTTGCTAAACTACATTCTCCATTTTTATCAAAATTCTAGTGTTTAGGGAAATATTTTAACACAACAATTCATTTTGCTCTTTTTTGGTTCGTTTTTTGTGAAAACATCAAAAATAACCTTTAAAAAACTAAGTGAGAATTTTATTTTAGACTTTATAATGATTTTTCTCAGAAACATATTTGATAAACTGCAATATTCGATTTCTTTATGATAATTTCGACGCAAAGTAAATATTTCTGCATTTGTTTCAAAACTAGAAAAAATAACAATTATTTCTTATTTTTCTTTATAATTTTTCTTTTCAAACCAAAACATGTATTAACTCAAAGTTAATAGAATAACGGGAAAATTCGAATCTGCTTTGTATTAACTCAAAGTTAATAAAATAACGGGAAAATTCGAATCTACTTTGTATTAACTCAAAGGTAATAAAATAGCGGGAAAATTCGAATCCTTCTTTGTATTTACTCAAAGTCAATAAAATAACGGGAAAATTAGAATCGACTTTGCATTAACTCAAAGTTAAAGAAATTATGGGAAAATTCGAATCGACTTTTTTTTTATCTAAAGTTATTTCGATAAATCGTTTACACCATTTACAGAGTTCATTTCTGTCATGCTATTTATTTAGTGATTCTTCAGTTCATATAAATATATTTTTAAGAAAAAAAATTTTTTCAATGTCTACTCGTTTATTGACTTTCGTCATTCGGGTATCAGAAGAGCAGATTTGTAGACCACTCTCTAAGGGGCAACTTATTAGGTGGGACAAAGTTGCTTCCTCAATAAGAAGGACAGATAGTGCAGAAAAGCGAAGAAGAGAATAGCCATGCCTTATCCTGGAATCGAACCCCCGGGACATTTCTAACTTTTTTAGGAAGAAAAAAAATTGATTCAAAATAAATAATTGATAATAGACGAATATACCCTAATAAATTTTGAATTTGTGTTTAGTTACGATAAAAAAATAATGATTTGATCGTTTTCAGTTAAGCTCATAATTTGGTTGTCTTTTTAACGCTATTCTCAAATACGTGACGGTAAGTTAACACGCTATTCACAAGTACGTGATAAGGCACAAAAACGTGATTTCAGCGATATTCTTCTTCTCGCGAATTGCAAGTACCCAATTCTATAATTTGAATTGAATTCGGTACCATAAGAAACTAACCATAAGAAAACCGTAAGAGCCACAAGAAAAATTTACCATAAGAAAAGCCATAAGAAACCATAAGAAAAATTGACATAAAAACTATATTTAACTTAGTAATGGAGGAAACTCAAAATAAAAACGTTAATTCTAAATAGCTTCAATATATAATAAAACTATAAATGTCACTTTAAGCTTATTAGACCCAAATAGTAATTTTTAGGCACCTAATTTGTCACGTGGACTGCGTATTTGACATGCTTCACAAATTGTTTTAAATATAAACCATAAACGTAGAGGAGGAATTACAACTTATTGGAATATATTTATGCTATTATATTATTACCTTTTTAAAAAATTGTAAAACATTGAAAAAAATTATCGATTCCATATAATTTTATCAAAAATAAGTCATATTTCCAAGTACCGATGGTATCAAACGGAAGTATTTGTACTATTTTAACATCACTATTAATGTAAACTTTGAAAACTAATTAAGTAAGGAAAATCGGAATGCATAGGTTTCCTTACATATTGTAATTGAAAGAAAGCAACCTTATTAGTGTTAATTTCTATTGATAATTAAATAACTACGCAATATTTTCTTTAATATTTGTTTAAGTGAGTATAACTTTTGTTGAATATTTAATATTGTGTTAAAAACAAAGAAGAGAGAAGCCCGCATAATGAAATAAGAGCTGTGGGATCTAATATAAAATCACCAACAGCGACACTTATCGATCGGCGCATGCGTAGAGCACAGGCGAATCGCCATATTTGGCCCTAAGTTATCAAAGAGCTTGAAGAGATCATTAGTGTAAGGTAAGTAAAATTTAAAAGATGCTAAAACAATACTGTCCTTCATGTACTTTGGTACTATTTAACTTGACATGCAGCATTTAGATTTGTTACCCGGAAAAAAATTTTAAATTTATCGTGTCTTTTCGTCCATATCGAAAATTTTAAGCAAAATACCTTTTATGTATCCAAAATAAATAGAAAATTCGAAGGATTTTAATCTAAGCATTTTATTTATTGTTTCACTTTGCTACCCATTTTGTTGTAGATATTTGTAAACTTTATAAGCTAAGGATTGCCTGTATTTGTTTAATGTACGATATAAATAAAATATATATCAAAATAAAATAAATGTATTTGCAACACATTTGAAATAAAAGTAGATTTTATTTCAGATGTGTTACAAATTCAAATGTGTTGCAAAAGTAGATACATTTTTTTAAACTTGTGGTGGGTGACACTTGATCTTAATACAGTTTTTTCAATTATTAATTCATTAAATAAGTGTATTAATTAATTTAAGTTTTATATGGAAGAAAAAAGTTTAATTATTTAATAAAAAGTAACTAAAATAAAAAATTTCTTTATTAACCTAAGTGGGAATTGACTTCAATTTCTTTTATATTACTTTTTTTTAATCTTATTATTATTATATTTTAACCTAAGAATAATAGGAAGACGTTAGTAATAGCTTTACAAACAGATGTGCTTTACAAACACATAGGTATGTACGTTAGTGTATGTGCGTTAGTGCATGTAAAGATTATATGAAAATGATATCAATAGGTTACAAAAATTTTGATTAGAGAAAGCAAAAACATTAATTTTTTAAACTTTTAAAATTGATAAAAAATAATATTAGGGATTATACTGTTTGTTGTTGATTACGATTACATAACGACCTATTGACCTAGTAAACAAAATAATACATGCGATAGATTTTTGCAAGAATCTGTAAGCTCATTTCAGTTTATTGATAACTATTTTGTTTCTAAAAATGCTATTTTAACAATGCAGTTTCAGATGTTTTAAAAAATAAAATACTTGAGAATATAACAAAATTATGTTTAAAGGGAGATTTATTTTGAGCTGTTAAAATTTTAATTACTAAGAAAGAATATTCTTTATTTTTCTATTTTATTTTCAGTTCACCATATATTTTTGATATATTGATCAAGCAAACAAAGTCGGTTTTTACCAGAATACATATTGAAGTGTATCATCGATAAATCCTTTTATTAAAAATAAGTTCGAAATCGAACTTTCTAAAAACTATACTAAATTAATTGCAGATATACTTATTTTTGAACTTGAGAACATATTAGAATTAAATAAATATATAAAAGAATGAAATATAACATGTTAAAAATATTTTGCATGAATATCTTTTTATTTACATCACGTTTATTACCAATTGACCAAGTAAACAAAATCATGAAATGCTGAATTACATTTTAAAGTGTATCCGTAAATGCATTTTTAATGCTCAATTCTAAATTTCAAAAAAAAAAATTTTTAAAAAATAATTTTTGATGTACTTGATATACGGAATAAAAGAAATATGAACTTCTAAAAATAATCAATTACTGTAAAAAATAATTACAATGAAGAACAATATTTTACTTTTACTATTAATCTACTATTATATATTACTTTCTATCAAATGTTTATTGCCTCTTATTAGATAAAGGTAGGAGAATCTACACCTAATGCAACAAAATAATATAAATAAATTTAAATATTATTTTTTTACAAAAAAATTTACTGAAGCAGCATGATAAAATATCATTTTAATTGTTGTTTCGTTGATATACTATAATTTAATAATGAAATGGTAATGAAACTAAAAGTTCACTTGCACAATGTTTCCTAACAGGGTAATGAGTTTTGCAATGTAGTGTGAGTAAGAGAGCTCGCTGCTGCAATTAAATCGTTAAGATTGGTCTTAAATGATGTAGTTGTAAAGCTTTTGCAAACAAATAAAATATTATTAGATGTGAATATTTATTCTTTAAGTAATCTGAATATTGAACAATTTTAATTAAATAAAAATCAGAAACAGTATTTTTTGATGAAATGGATTCTTGTTTTTTGAATCTTTGCTATACTTTTGCAAGTTACCTCTTTTGGCTGCTCTCAGCATTGAGTAATCTTTCTTCGTTTAGGAATCACGGAAGAAAGCAATTGGTGAAAATTAGGTACCTACCAGTGACGTCACACTTTAGTGTCAAACTTGATTGGCTACTGAATAGTGACATTTATTTATGCCACGATTTAGCGGCAAATGAAGTTCGACACCTTACTCGTGACTCGTAATGTCGCATGCAAGTACCCAATTAAATCTTACCCAAAAATTTATTTATCATTTGATTGATTGATTTATCCAAATTGATTGATTTATCCAAAAATTGACATGTCAATAAATCAAGCCTAATAACTGTAACATTAAGAAGTAGTGAACATTTTTTTTAAATTTTAAATTCCTTAAAATATTAATATAATATTTTTGCTACCACTGAAAAAAATACTTTCTGAAAACCCTTCGTACAACTCTTATCAAAACTGCACCAATTACCCTAATATAAGTAGTAAACCAAAATTAATTAAGCTTCATCTGCATATGTTAATTTTTTACGTTTCCCCTAAACGAATTTCCCATTAATCTTTTCTCCAGTAACTTTGTTTTTAGCACATAACTTATTTTTTATTTCAATTAATACAGGTTACCAATGTTAATTAAGCACTGATATCAATAATAATATGACAATTTTCTACGGTTCTCTTTAGCGAATTTCCCATTAACCTTTTCTCCATTAATTTCACTTTTTAGTACATAGGTTAATTTTTTTTATTTCAATTAATGTATATTTCCAACATTAATTCAGCACCACTGGCATCAGTAATAGTAAGACGATTCCTTGCGATTCTTCTAAGCGAATTAGTACCTTTACTCCATTAATTTTGCTTTTTGGTAAATGGGTTATTTTTTTATTCCCATTAATGTATACCACTAGTTTCGACAACTTTCTTTTAAAATATTAATAAAAATTTTTAAAAACTAGTTTATTTGCTTATACTGTGTTAAAACTAGAGACAAAAATTATTTTTATTTTATTTTTGTTTTTTAGATTACCATTTTTAGGTAAAAAATAAGTCAATTTCCTTCCCATATACGCTAAAAAATGTTTAAAAAAATACCATCCCCCAAAACAAAAAATCCCTTGAGGATATTATTTAGAAGGGTATCAACTATGTTTTGAACTATTATCTTAGAAACAAGTGTATATAATTCTGAGTTAGAAATCGGATCAATATAGTTAAAAAAAAAAACATTTAAATATTTTCTTCACTTGTCATGGCGAAACAATACGCGTAAAAAATTAAATTCTTCTTTCTTCTCTTAGTCTGTAGTTCAAAACACGTGTGGTATAATCATGAACACTCATAAAAAATTGTGGACACTTATTTTAAAAACAATTTGAAATATCGTATTTAAGGTGTTGTAAAATGTGAAAAAAATCTCATTTTAATATAAACGCGTTTTTAAAGACTTAAAATCAGTAGTCTATCCAGTGTTATAAACTTGCTCAAAAACTGCTATAACTTTGTGAATAAATAGAGTAAAAACAAAAGTAAAGTTTTTTTACAATGCTTAAATTACAGGAAATTTAAATTCATAATAAACTCAATTTCAAAAATTTTGTTCAAAATCATGTTTTTGCCTTAGTCTTATTACCAACATTAACACTTGAGAACAAATATTCCTGAGCTACTGTAAAAAATCCTATTCTATTATAAGAAATTTTCGGGATATAGTATTGCATTGAATTTTTGAAAAAGAATATGAAGATTTGAAAAACACGTGCAAGGCAAAATAATTTCCTAAAATAAATGAAATAATATTTGAAAAGTGTCTGCTAACTCTACAATTGACTTATTCCATCAAAATACAAACACGTATGCATAATTAAATGATAGAAAATAAATTCTGGAAAATTCCTTAAAATTTTCCTGTAACGCCCAGTGTCCTCAATTGAGGACAGTAAAATATATTGTTATATAAAAAGAAAATAAATTTTCAAAAACATAATTTATTTAGCTTTACATGTTTAAATATACTCTTAAGAGAAAAACTGTAATAAATAAAATAATTTGCTTTTATTTTATTTGATATGACTGCATAAAAAGAAAAGACTAGTGTGAGGCTAGAAAAATCACAAATTGGCGATCCTAATAACAAACCAAATATAGCAGCATATTTATAAAAAATATATTGCGGATGTGTTGATAGTACTGCCAACTATCTTCCCAGAAAAGAAAAATCCGTTTTAAAATAGAAATAAAAATTTTACATAATGTTTTATTGACTGTCCTCAATTGAGGACAGTGGGAGTTAATGGATTAACATGACCAACGGTATCTCACCCATTGTGATGGTCCCGAAAGAGTGGATACCACCTCTGGAAAACGCACTAAGTCTGCTCATCGACAAGACCGACTGTGCAGCTCATTTGAAATAAAAAAAAATAAAAAAATTAAAAATAAAAATAAAAAAAAACTTAAATTTTAAATTTTAAGTATTAGTTTAAAACTACGTTATGAGATTGCCTTCGTAAAACTAATCTGAAGCTCTTTTTCTTTTAGAATGGATTCTTTAACATCTGTATCTAGGATCTTATGGACGACATTGTTTGTGATTACTGCCTTTGAGTGTAATGCTTACAGTTCTTTGGACTCACTTTTTACAGATTCTTTGTTGAGAGAATTTGTGAACAGAAATGGGGCGGAAGATGCAAGTTTTGATGAATATTTGAATGGTTTACCTTCTGCCAACGCACAAACAGATGTCAAAGATTATCCAAGTTTTGAAGCAAGAAGAGATGATATTTTAGAAAGAGATATGAATATTAGAGATGAGGAATATCTGGAACACAGTTCATTGTCAGGGCAGAAATCAATGCAAGGTAATTCGTTTCAAATAAGTAGTTACTCAGTGTGTTTACCTACGTTAGGGTTCGCAAATTAATGTTTAAGCTAGAGAGAAACAAAAACGCAATCGAAATTCCCACAAAAACAAAATCCTTGTCATTAAAATTGTCAATTAAAAGTTATATGAGTAACTTCCTTTCCAAATTATGTTTACTGAAGTTAAAATTTAATGAAGTAAAAACATTTGAGATCTTTTGAGGATTATCACACAAAACTAATTTTAAAGAAATTCTTTTTAATTAAAATTTTGAAATATTTGAAACTTTAAAATGTAATGTTATTAATTCGTTTTTTAAGAAATGGAGTGACTTTTTTTTTATTCAAAATAAAATGCAAAATATGACTTGTTGCCTTTTCTTAAGCATTGAACTTCAAGCAATGCTAACTAATGTAAAATATTTTTAACTGTTTTTTTTTTTTATTTCTTCTAAGTTAACAAAATTTTAGTACATATAGTTTAGATACTTTACTTTAATTATATATCATGATTTGAAAAATAAATGATTTCAAAGCATAAACTTAGAAAAGAAAAATAATAAGATTTTGAAGATTTTGTTGATGAATAGATTTTTTTTTATAATAGATTTTGGTTATAATAGATTTTTTTTTTTTGAAGATTTGAAATACTAAAGCACAATATTTATAATTATATCAAAAATTAAAAGTTTTTTGACTGGTGTATAAGTTTTTTGCATAATTATGAACTTTTGAATCGTGAAACTTTCTATATGCATGTTTTTTTTTTTTAGATTTTAAAACAGAAAAAAAATAATTCAAATGATATCCCGCATTTCTGCAGTCTCAAAAATGTGTTCTGAACCTCCATAATTACTAAAAGTTGTTTTGGATAATTGAAATGATTTTCCAACTTATTTAAAAATACAGATAGATTACAATAGCTTAACTGTCACTCAAGCTTATTTGCAATAACTGATTTCTTTAGATAATATTAAGTTTTCCCAAATAAAGGTGGACAAAAATGATAACTTTAAATAGTAAAAATAGCAATAAAGATTTGTGAGACGACTGCACTTTAGATTACGAGTAACTGTTTAACCAGTTAACATGAGAGTATTTGAAGGGAGTGTAAAGTCGTGTCAAAATGGATGCGTCTGGGAAAGAAAAACGCGAAGCTGTGCGATTTTTAGAAGCTAAATGTGACTGTATCAGTGTTTTTCTGCACTGATATCTCGAAGCTTAACTCTTTGATTACCACTAATAATTCCATCAATCACGATGTTTGATTGTCCTGGGTCTTGACAGATCCGATCTTTAAAACTTTTACATCATTAATACGCAGCAGTTTCACCTAGGCAGTATTAATAGTGTTTGACGTAAACAGCAGACGATATATGTCGGTAATACATTAACTTTCTGCCATTCTATACATTCTTCACTAAAAATTATACACCTGCTTATTGTTTTGTTCTGGAGACTTCTATCTTAGCAGGAAATCACATTTACTTTAATTACTCTCATCCGACTTGGTTATCCAGTTTTATGCAATCAGTTCTGCACTCCTCTTACCATAGTTTATAACCCTAAATAGTGGCGCTGCTGGCATTATTCTATTTTCGATGCCATTACAATTGCCCAGTTTTCATTAAGGCAATCCTTGAACACCTGCAAACATTATTTTATGGATAATTTTGTTCACAGGAGGAAATGGTGAAGGCTATAAACTACTAAAGCCAGATGGAAGCATATCAAATCACCAATTTATAAAAACAGATTCTTTACCGGCATTTTGCAACCCAGCCAATCCCTGCCCCCTGGGATTTAAAGGTGAGTTTCAAAAATAATCGAAACAATAACGCGGTTTTACAAATGCAGGCAGTTTAATCAAACATAGTACTGTAAAAAAAGTTCAAAAATTGTCAAACCCCGAACATAAAAAAAAAAATTCAAAACTCTGGCTAACTGTTAAATACAGTACCTTTTTTATTAAGTTACAAAATTTCATGGGAAACAGCGTTTCACCTGTTTGCTCTGTTTAGAAACTTAACAATGGGCACAAGTGCAACAGGTGCTCATATAAAAGGTACTTTTTAAGAGTAAAACCTTTATAACTTATAAACAATCTAACGGAGTCTCGCATTTGGTTTAATTCGACTCAGTGTAAGACGCTACGTCGAAAACAATATCTCATTAGTCTAGGTAATTTCTATCTATAGTATTGTAAAAGATAAGCGCATGTCATAAGTACAGTGCACCAAAAAAAAAAACGAAAAACTCTGAATAGCTTTTGATCTAATGATCGGATCTTCACATTCTAGGACTCAATCTTAATGGATCACACAAACGTACTTTCTCTGAATAAACATTCCTTTCTTACGATGGATTCAGTATTCTGAATTTTAAAAAAGTCATATATTTATAACTTGATTTCTCAGAAACTATTCAACCGATTTCGCTCAAAATTTTGTATTTTGCCATGAAAAATGAGATAATTTAAAACAATGCAGAAAATTTTATATTTTCAATTCAAAATTTATTCTATTATTCAAAATTCAAAATTTATTCTATTATTCAAAATTCAAAATTTATTCTATTATTAAATGCAATAATAAATATCTACTAATACACGCAAAATTCTCTCTTTCTCGGTAGAGCCAGTACAAACATTAATAAAAGTTTTTACACCAGCAAAGTCAGAAAAAAAATATTACATGTTTATATACGAGTGTTTGGATGAAAAAATATGGAGCATGTAAATTATTTTGGATAAATAAGGTAACTTACATTTTGAAAAATAGGACGCTTTAACGCAATAATTTACGAAACAGGTTTTCAGTATTTCAGAACTTTTTAATGTTATAACTATTTCTACCGTCATAAAGTTGCGCTTTCAACTTGAATATTAATTGCAGAAAAGTGGACATTTCAATGTTTAGAAAGAACATAAAACATTTGGTGCACTTTTTGAAACCTTTTATGTTAGCAGGTTACTAGGGTTTTAAAATTTTTAAAAAATGTCCTTGCTGTGCGAGTTTAATATCAGAAATAAAGTAAAATACGCATTAAATTTTGGGTTCAAAATTTAACTTTGATAATATTATTATTATTGCAGCTGAAGATGGATGTCTGGAGGAATTTGAGAATACAGCTCGATTTTCCCGGCAATACCAGGCAGCTCAAAACTGTCTATGTGACTCGGAACATATGTTTGACTGCCAGGGAGCCTCCAGAGAAAATGAAATTGACGTCTTAGCCCGATCATTTGAGAATGAGGGACTAGCAGATGCAACTCTGGATAAACTGATGCAAAATATGGATGTAAGTAAAACCACTAAACTAATCTGATGTTTCTAAAGTTAGTTTTTATTTCCAATAGCATAATAAAGTAACTAACTCTTACAAAATAAGAAAGACCATGAATTATAAAAAGAAATAAAGGGAAAGAAAAAGGTCAATACCCCATCCAAGATATATTTATATTAGAGTCTTCACGAAGAGCTAAGCATCCCATCAAGTCGTTCCTTTTCCTTGGCTTCATCTTTTCCACAGAGTGAATTCTATTTAGACTCTAAATACCAATATGGGGAAGTTGGTCCGCCAGGAAGTCATAAATGTCCAAGCTGTTCCTCCAATCTCTTAACGAAATACTAGAAATGAGCAATGCTTTCCAATTTTGTTTCATTAGATTTTTAATATAAAATTTTATAAAATGAAAAGAATTATAAGTATCCTTCCTGTTCTTTGCCATAAATATCAGAATGTCCTGGAATCCGTCGGAGTGTTATTTATCGTTCCTTTTCCCTCAATCTCTCCATGAGAATTTGACAATCTATTATATTCTGAGAGATGAGTATTTCCTTGCATCCGACATCCTGAATGGTAGCTTTAAAGTCAGACAGAAAAAAGCACCGTATTGTCTGGGGACAAGTTGCTCCAGTGCCACATAGATAGCCATAACTTCACCGAAGGTAGTTTTTTGGTCTTTCGACAAGCACATAAAAGGAAAAGATGGAAGAGTAAATTTCTGCACTGACATTTAGTGAGAGTTTAGTCAAATCGTCAGTATAAACATCCAAATTCAGAGTATAGTGCATGGATGGTCTCAAGTACAAGGACCTTTTAGCTATTTGGACGAAATTGGCTTTTAAGAAATGGTTGCACAAAGTCCAGCTTGGTAGTTATCTTGACATGGTTTACAGTAGGGATGGGCAAACTTTTTTGGTTGAGGGCCAAAAATCGAGAAAAAAAATGTTTGGTGGGCCAAGTAAAAATTTAAATGAAAAAAAAGCGATGTACAAGTTTTAATTTAAATATTTAGTGAGATGAATGAAACTGCGATTTCATTTCTAAAAGTTCCCTATATTGAGGGTCGCAGTGAGATGCACCTATTTTAAGGCAAGAGGCTAAATGCTTGTCTGTTAGTCTACTTCTGAAAAGATTTTTTCTATGGTTCATAATTGAAAACTCTTGTTCACGTATATAGGATTAAGCAAACATAGCTAGCATGGATTTTCCGGGCATAGAATATTAGATTTTGGAAACTAGCTTTTGGTAATGATTTGTAAAACTCAAACTTTGGCATATTTAGAAACAACTGCTTCAGATGATCGTTAGATTGTCTGCTCGTTGGAGCTTGAACTGCGCAGTCTGCCACATGTGAAGTACAATTCACCTATATTAGATTCCATAAGTCTGCTCCTCGAGAAAGACAAACGCTATTTGGAGTCAATCTACGGCTATTCTATAAAGAACTTCTGCTTTCAACATTTTACCAATTGAAGCTGCCAGTGCTTACTATTTCCATCAATTTATGTTTTGTGGAACAAAAAATAGAGAAAGTAAAAAGGTCATTAGTACTTTGTTAAAAAAGAAAGAGGATAAATAGCTCTCAGCAAAGTCGACAAGAAAATGGATGTACATTGTTTATATTTGCCACTGATCGGCAAGTTCAAATTCCATCCGAGGGCCGGATAAAACCTTCCGGTGGGCCACAGTTGGCCCGCGGGCCGAAGTTGGCCCATCCCTGGTTTACAGGCTCGGGGTATTGTTAGAAATCCTGGGCAATTTCATGATAAAGTGCCAGTTCTGTTCTTTGGGCAATATACAATACATTCAGCTGTACGAGCTTTATTCTCAAATAGTATAACGCTTTGAGCAATATACTATGTAAGCAATTGCATCCATTCTTTTGACATTGATGTGAATTTACACCACTTAGCTTTCCTAGAATTCAAAGAAATCCTTTACGATCCCTGAATAACTCGATTGAGATAGGTCATTTCCATTGAGGGAATAATTTGTTTGTGACTTGTCAATATCATTCAGATTGAATAGTTCACTCGAGGCACAGAGTAGATTAGGGGTGGTTCCAGCCCCGTTATAATGAAGATATGACTGTGGGGCAGAAAAATTGGTTGATATGATCTAAATGGCTGGAGTTCCAAACTTCTATTATCTCCTTTAAGCCGATAAGAACTCAACTAACGCAACTTGTTTAGATTTCGGGAGAAGTTGTATCCTGGAAAGTTGAAGAAATCTAGGGTATCGTGAATGAGAATTGCTTCCATGATTCTGAAAATGCCAACATCATGGTTGGCAAGAGTATATTGGATCTCAGATCTCTTATAATGTGGCTGGCCACCTGCATCCCTTTTTAAAGAATCAGGTCAATATGGAATACTGCGTAGATGAAGACACTTAAAGTGATGCTTCATGCCGTAAGTAGTAGATCTCTGAGTGAAAGGCGTTACCAGGGTGCAACACGGGCAGGTAGATCTACCATCGCATCCCTTGTTACTAAAGTAAATATGTAATTCCAAATATGCTAACCATCTAAGTTAATACGTTTACAAGTTACGTTAATCTAAGTTAATACAACTATTAGGAAGATTGAAAAAAGTGTGCCTCCAATCTTTTAGTCAGATGATAAAATTATTCTGATAAGTTTTTAATAACTTTAAAGAAGTATGGCTCAGAAATACACAAATATGAGCCGTATAATTCCAAACAGTTCATTATCACCGGCCATAATACGCTATTGTAGATACTTTAAACTTTAGAGTCTAAGGGTATTTGACAAACATGACTGAGGTATCCATGATTCTCAAACTAAGTTAACCAATCTAGGTTATCTATTCTAACTGTCGTTTGATGAAATACCCCATTTTTTGTTTTATATGAAATACTCAAAAAGGTATCTCGTTCCCATGGCTCCAATACAGATCTGTATGAAAAGTACGCAACAATGTGCAATACACAGATTAAAAAAAAAGTCCACTAGCAAAGTCAATACTTTATTTTGCTTTAAATGAGATGCTCAAAATGCATCCCATTCCTAAAGTTCGCGAAAATTGCAAAACTACGCAAAATATTCCATTCTAATCCAGTGCTCACGGCTCATAAATAGATCTGTAGCAAACAAACGCAAAAAATTTTAATGAGTCCAGTATCTGATTCTTAGGTCTGATTTCACTTTATTTTTAATGAGATACTCTAAAGGTATACCATTCCATAGCTTATAAACAATTCTGAGGCAAAACTACGTAAAAATGAAAATTGCATAGGTAACAAACCCAGAATTAACAATCAGAAATTGTTTAAAATCAGTTACTACAAGGGGGGGGGGACAATTCTCATGGCTCGGGTTTCCATGACTCACAAGCAGATCTGTACATAGATTATTGGGATAAAATCTATTGCAATCTCTACAGAATTCTTACGCTTAAAACTATAAACAGATTCCACAACATTGTGTTTGTATTTTCATTCATAAAATGCACTTTTCTTTATTCACTTAACACCCTCCTTTCTTCGATTTCCGCTTTTTGCAAAGTGTGGAACTTAGAAGTTGAAATTTCTAACTAGTTAGATGAATCAGAAAAATTGATAGCCTTTGTAAATGGCTTTGTTATCCTAATGAGCGGCTTCTTAGTCAACATATATGCCTGTTCTTTGTCATAAATATCACAATGTCCTGGAGTGTAATTTATCGTCCCTTTTCTTTTAAACTGAGGAGAACTTAATAATCTAGGATATTTTTAGATATGGGTATTCCCTTGCATCTGACATCCTGAACGGCAGCTGTGGAGTCAGGCAGAAAACAAAACACCTTATTGTAAAGGTGTCTGTGATTAGGTCTTTGTTATCCTTTGACTATATCAGTCACGACAGAAAAAATAAATGATTATGAAAGCTATGTGTATTTTAACATCCTTAGTCTTCAATAAATATCAAATATTTCAAGTAAATTAACGATTATTGAAGTTAAAAAAAACACACGAAAAACGTATTTTTACCGAATAAAAATTTCGCATCTAAAAAAAAAATAAACAGATTTGGCTTTAGCATTATTTAACTAAGGATGAAATCACAATTCAAAAAAGTATGGTATCAGATTCAGTTATCAGAAAAGTCAAAAGTTTGGCTCTTGTTTTTTTCTTCTTTTTATTCCAAAATTAAATCAATAATTTTTAAAATTTTCTATAACAACAAACGAAAAAAAGACTATTCATCCAAAAATGATTGCTTACGAAAAAGCTATAATTTTTTTTTTTCATTCTCAATGTTATTTTATTCTGCCGTACTTCCATTCGTTTGAAATCCCCCAAGAATTAAAAAAAAAACGAATTTCAATAAAAATTTACTATAATTCTCTTACTTTATACCTAACGTTTAGTTCATTTAGAAATACAGAGGTGTTTTTTTTTCAGTTTAATGTCTATAATATTCACTTAAACTTCCATCCTCTTAAATTGAATGTTCTTCCTTCCCTGTTGTATACATTTTTATTTCCTTTTCTATAGATAAGAAGCGACCACAAAGTTGTGGCGAAGAAATTTTTCTCTCATAAGGTAAAGTTTATCGACAGTATTTTTAGTTGATTTAATTTAGTTTAGATTTTGAGCTTTAATTCCTTAGTTGCTTTATTTTTTAATTTTGTAGTCGACTTAACTGTCATAAACTAAAGTTACTCTCATATTTTTAAAAAAAACTATTTCAGTTTTTTTAGATATTATTAATGGTTTATGGTTAGACTAAAAGAACATCCGCTCTTCGTACTGAGGGAAATAAAAGTAAATAGTCAATAAAACGGGTATTAATCAGCACAGCGCAATCATGTACAAAACTGAAGAACATATACCGATACAATTAAATAAACTAAAATAAATCCATTTTTTCATTTATTATTATTTTTTTCCCTTTATGTTATCAGATTAAGGAAAACATGTTTCTAGAAGTTCACTCCATTGAAATAAAGATTAGTAATATGAATTATATGCAGTATCATTGGTATCGGTTTTTCGAAGACAATCCAAACAATCTGTTATGGTATATTATTTCTTTGAAGAAACTTTTTTTATTGGATTTAATATAGATCCACCTTCCCACAGTACTATGCACTGTATTTGAAAACTAGCCGTTTTCATATTGTTGTTATAAAATTAAATCTCATTATTAAGCAAATCCAAAATAAGTTATGAAGGAAGAAGGAAATTTCAAAAAAAATATTCATCTGGCTTTGCTTCTAAACTGAAGTGTGTTAGACAAAGAAGAATGATCTTTGATGGATCATTCTTCTTTGATCATTTTGAAGGAATGATCATTCCTTCAAAATACGTATTGTCTTTGTGAGAAATTTTCTGATGCTCTTAGTATAAGTTGTAAGAGAATCCAGTCATTATCACTATTACGGTACATTAATTTAAGAAAAATGATAATTAGATTTGATGATAATTGGGTACTTGCACTTCAAGAAGAAGATCACGGATACCCATACGTGTGATCTATGATGTCTGTGCCAACTGATCATTTATAATCAAAATGGCGTGTTAAGTTTGAATTAAGTGTCTCTCCACAAGTTAGAATGTAAATTAACGTGAAGGTATAAATAAATACAGCGCCGTAGCGCTCATCTAAGACGATGAAATATAATTATTTCTCGTCTATACCTTTTGCTTAACTTAGATTTATTATTTGTCTACGTATTTTATGGTAATCATGATATATTTTTGCTTTGTGTACCTTGGCAACTTCTATTTTGTTAATATTCTACATGCCTTCATGTCTATCTTTGTGTTAAGTAAGAAATGCGTAGTGAAAGAATTGAAATCTTTGAGAAAGAATGTAGAATGTGTCAGTTAAAAGAATTCATGCTTGACAGGATTGGTTTACTCGAAATAGAATGCAAGGAACAGGTACTAATGTAAACAAAAGCCACGTTTCAACAACCAATCAGGATCGAGATACAAACACTACGTCATTTACACGTATTCTTTTTACCTTGAATGTTTAAAAATTAGCCGTTTTCACTTGATTGTTCCAAAATCAAATGTAATCATTAAACGGAGAAGTTTTTAAATTTGCAAATAAGTTTCAAAAAAATATATAATAAAATTTCTGCACCAGAGAATTTTTTTTTGCCTTGAAATTATCGTTTACATTACTTTGGATACTTCTATAATAGTTTCGAATGTTCTTTTTTTTTTTGCAGTCACCAAATCCATTTTTGGAAGGAGAAAAGCTACCCGTGGTAGCCAAGAAAGCTCCATTACCCTCAATAAAGTAGCAAAAATCTCCCAAGATGCCAGTCAAGTTATCTAAACATTAAAGTATCCCATCTTATACTCAAATTGTAGAAATATTTCATGCTTCTATTTTGATCATTATTTTTTCAATGATTTATGCTTAGTACTTCCCCATACTTACATATAAATGTTGATTTACTGTATGAAAAAATTTTATGCAAATATTGAAATGAAAAAATATTTTAAAAAGCAAAGGTTAGAAATGGACCATTTATGCATATATCTGAATTAATGAGCCCCACCGTTGATATACCTGTAACTCTTTATTAGTGTAATTATATAAAATGCCAATAAATGTTATTTTCTCTTTTGTGATATAAAATTCTTACTCTGTGATTGCATTTCTCAAAATAAAGTTCAAAGAATGCATTTTGCAGTCTGAAATAAAGTTAAAGTAACAGAAGAATTATCTGTCCATAATCTGGAGGTTCTGAACATACGTTTAAGAATTGGAAACATACGATTGGAAAGTTCAATTATCTTTAAAAAATTAAGCTTTAAATATTATTTATTCGTATAAACTCCCTTGAAAAGAATATATCCGCAGTTTTAAAACAAATTAAGGGATTTCACGTACTTCTCATGAGCGTGTTATATGAAATTAAATAATATGTTTGTTAGAAAAAAATATTCTGCAAATATTCAGCGACGCTCGAAATATCTAAGTGGCAAATGTGAATGCATGTGAATAATTTTAATCATATTCATAAGAAAACTGCGAATAAAATATAATTCCTAATTATCTCTTCTTCGTAGAATTGCAGTAAGCTATATTTATGCTACTTTTATTAAAAATAATGTATTTCTGTTCTCGTAATATCCAGCTTATACCAACAAAAGAAATCCAAACAATAATAAAGCAATTTCAACAGAATAATTTATTTGAATAATTACAAAACCTGAGAATTTAAACTTTTCTGATTTAAAGTAAAGATAGTTTTTATCAGCTTCTTTCAACATAAAAAGCTGGAACAATGCACATTGATAACATTGTGCAGAAATACATCTTTTCAGTTTTTTTAATCAAAATCCTAAAATAGTAAAATAATTATTTTTCAACAACATTAAGAATTATTATTAAAAATAATAATCAATCTTTTAAAATATTTTGCCTTTCCTGTTATTATATAAAAGAGACAGTTACATAAAATTATTTTTCTCACTATAACCTGCTCAATTGTTTAAAGGGGGGAAAAGTGTTATTAGGAAAGGAGTTAGCGTTTTTCACTAGGAAAGATCAATTCATTGATAATCAGTCACGAAATTGTTTTCAGTTTTTTATTCAGTCAGCTTACTTTTAAGTATGTTTTCTAGATTGTCAGCTTTTCTTTTCTTATATTTAGTTTTACTTCCAGTTATTTTGCTCTCATTTTTTAACTGCGTGATTTAATCAAGATTATTTGCTCGTTTCCGAAACTTAAACATCCATCTTTAGTGCACATATGTATTATAACATGTTATTTATTATAATGTTGATTCGTCATTTGTAATTAATACAACTAAGAAATTATGTAGTTCAGCCTTGTTACTCCATGTTATTAATTAATATAAAATCTAATTTAATAAAACCAATTTGAATTACGTAAAAATAACAAAAAGTTACTGGTCACACTACACAGAATGAATTACAACTAAATTTATCCTCAGACATGGTGCTTAGTATTCGATCATTATGTTAGTTTAATTAAGTTTTCAATATACAAGCTTGCAATAAAACATGTTAAATGATATTTAGAACTCAACAAAAATAATGTTAAGTGATAATTAGGACAAAAAATATTAAGTGATAGTTAAACACAAAAATCATCTTAAGAGGTAATTCGAACACAAACAATGCTAAGTGATATATAGAACACAACAAAGATCATGTTGAGTGATAATTAGAATGCCCCGATGATCATGTTAAGTGATAATAAGAACACAAGAAGAACGTGTAAAAATAATCGTAAGAACCCAACGAAGAACGCGTTAAGTGATCATTAGAACATAGCTAAGAATATCTCAAATTTTGATAAGAACAAAAAGAACATGTTAAGTAATAAAACGGCAACGAAGAACATGTTTAAATAATTAGAAAATAGCAAAAAGCAAGTTAAGTGATAATTAGAGTACAGTGAATAACACTTTATGTGATATTTTAAGAATAATTTTATTTTTATTTTTCTATTGTTTGCGATGAATAAAAAGAGGTTTAGAAAACAGTTCTTTAATGTTTTATACACTCAAAAAACTAATTTATTAATCTTCACAAATATGTGATGTAATTTCTTACTTTTTTCCATTTCTCTACAATTAACTTTAGACACATGTAATTCTTTCTCCTTGGGTATCGAAACATTAATTAATATTGAAAACTGGACTAATTTAAAATCTTATTGTACTTTTCAGTAAACATGCTTCTAAGATTTAAATATTAATAAATGTTCGTGCTGGCAAATAACTCACTCTCATCCATTTTTCCCCACGATTAGTCACGCAGCTTCTATTGCTGATGACCACAAAGAAATATATATAGAGTTTCTATTCTAATGCCGAAACGTAGTAAAAAGCGACGCAATTTTCTTTTTTCTTTTTTTAAAATTGCACGCTAAAAAGGCAAGTCTGGCCCATAAGGTCTCAGCACCATGACACGGCAAAACTATTAATTTCTATTTATCTAACAAATAAAACGTCACAGCAAATGTCCTAATAGATTGAAATGCAAATTTTTCTGGAAGCGGCTGCCTTTATATATCTACTGGAGTAAATGAAAAAAAAAACTTCCTTTTCAAGCTATATATTCTTGCAATATTAACAACTTTCAGTACAGCTGCAAAATTTTTAATGTTTTGTAACATTTTAATTATTTAAAGACAGTTAGAACAAACTTTTTTCTATTTAATGATTATATCTATTATCTAAATCATGGAGTAGTTTTTCTGTTGACTAACAGATTTTAAATCACATTCGAAAACAATGGCTCCTCATAGTAACGTTATGCATTTCAGAAGACGTGCAGTTATCAAACGTTTAGAATAGTTTTGTAGAGGGGAGTAAGGGATCCGAGTTTAGAAATTTCGAAATTATTGATTAATTTTCTTGATAATTGTTGGAATTTTTTAGTTTTTTACTTGCCTACTTATTTTCCCCCCATAAATTGAAACGTTTTAATAATAGCTTCCATTTCTGTACATTATTAGGGATTTGCCATACATCGTCGCAATCACATTGTCAGTCTCCTTACATTATTATTTCCCTTCTCTATTGATTATAATATTTTTTGAGAAAAATTGGTTGATGATAAATTATAACTCTATGCTTTTCCGTTATTCAAAATGTGCATAAAGTAAAGCTAAGTACAACAACCTTTTGGAAATTAATTTTGATAATTTGATTGTATTAAGTTATTCTCTGCACGTTTTCTAATTAGCCTGGAGACATATAGGAAAATTGTAATGCTGTATGAAGGAAAAATTGAGTAGAAAATATTGTTTTAAGCATGTGCCCCAAATTTTGTTTAAAACTTTAGTTTAAACGTAGATAGGCCTTTGATTAGGAAACCAGTTGACATGATTTTCAAAAAAAAAATTTGTATGCCTTTTAAGTAATTGAATTATTCGTATAATTTAAAATTTATCAAAATTACATTTAAAGTGTTCTAGGCACATTAAAACTAAAAGGTGCTTAATAGAAACCGCAAGCTTTTTCAAAACATCTTATAACAAGGTTAAGTGAAAAAATACTTTTAAAACGAATTATAAAGATTATGGGGACGAATTTTATTGCAAAGTATCATTATTATTTTTAATTGGGAATAGAACAATTACGCAGTGAAAACTAAGATATCGTAAAGAATCGAAATTATATCCCTCATACCGCATTTTCTTCAGTAATAGATTTTTTAGAGGAGCAACGCAATTTTGCCGTTTTTTTAAGGGGTTCTGAGTGGTAAACTGAATGGAAAGGTTGGACCTTAGTTATACTAATTAATGAATTCTAACTGTTAATTAAGCTGCTGAATCAAACACGAAAAACATACTTTGAACAATCATACATGTTTTGTGACGGGTTTTGTATTTTTAACTATAAAAGTTTTTCAAAAATATTTGTTTTTATTCTGAGGAATCACTTTTGTGTTTAATTTTGCATAAAAATCAATAGTCTGTATGAAATATACGCATGTTCTTAAGTGAGCTTCTTAGAACAAAAAATATAATCATTGAAAGACAGAATCATCGCTCTAAATTATTAAATTTGATTTGTTTCTCAGAACGTTTCATTTCGCTACATCTTTTCTTATTCAATAAACTATAAAACTGAATATTATCAAGACCTGCATTTTAAATCTTTAAGGCCTTCACATAAAGTGCTCTCCTTTTTTGTCCACAAGGACATTCTGCGGTCTTCGGATAGCGCCATCGCCTTCATTAACTTAAAATAAAATTATAGCAATCACTATTTCTGCATCACCTGGCCATAAGTTCTTACATTTTACTTGAGGTATTTAATTTATCATTATTTGAGGAGAGAATTGTAAGAGATACATGGTAAGTTACCGATTTAAAAATAAGTATCATAGATTTAGTTTTTTTTTTCTTCTTTCTTTCCTTTTAGTTTAAAGAAATCAGTTGTAAAAATAGAATACTGTCATTTCAGTTTATATGTACATAATTATTAGGTATAATTTACTTTTAACCGTAAAGATGTAATATTGTCAAGTAATTTTTTGACATTTTTATTTGATTAGAAGAATTGTGAAGCTATTAAAATTCTCTTTATTCATTTTTCAGTGAAATAAGATTTTTTTTTCGTGATTTGAAAGTATATTAATTTTTTTAAGTGTTTATTCATGATCTTTTTTATTTTTCTTTAACCCATCTTGCCGTCAAATCGAAATTTTTTTCATCTGCCGCACAAAAGTTCTATCAATAAATTTAAGAACGTGGTTAGTTCGTGGTAGATGAAGCCCAGCCCAGCAGCTATTTTTAAGAAAATGTGTTTGGTTGGTTGCAATCTTTTTCAGCAAGGATGGTCAAAAGAAAATAAATTGTAGCTTTTACTATATTGTATCAATTTTTCAAATTTATTATTGCATCAATATTTACTATATGGTAATCAAGGAGTGTTCTGTATTGTATATCATTATTTTCTCAGTTACGCAGCAGGTCGTCTTACAGCTCTCAATCAATTCACTTTGTGTGTAAACTTGGAGTTCTATACAGGCTAAAGAGACTTTTGATTACTTTTTTTTAAAAATTACAAATGGAATGTAAATTTAAATAATTTTACTTTTATTGAAATTACATAATAAAATAAATAATTCAACTTTCA